AGACGCCCCGACTTACAAACAGGTACGGTTAATCCGAGCGGTCGTTCGTAAGTCGAACCACAGGCCCTTGGAGGCTCAAGTTTCGAAAAAGTATAACTATAAGTATAAGTCTAAGTATAAGTCTAAGCGAAGCGCTTCGCTCTTAATATAGACTTGTACTTTTTTCAAAACTTGAGCCTCCAAGGGCCTGTGGTCGAACATGATATACGTGCGTATACAGACTATTAAGTATTATTACTATTAGTATTAGTATTACAAATACAGTATTGACAGTAAGTAGAGTATTGTACAGTAATATATATCAGGAGTAGATAATAGGGAAGGAGTGTGACTTCAATAAACAAGCGAAATTCGTCATTTACTAGCCTTATAATACCTACGATTTACTACGCGTAACTCATCCAACTTGAGCTCAAATCGGACACAGTACATTTGCCTAGCATCGTGCGAAATCGTTTTCTCGTATACACCCGCAATCCGTAGATACAGACTAAAAGTTAAAACGTATGACACGATTATCCATTCTGTTGCCATCAATCCGAATGTATTGTCCGCCTAACTCGAAACAAAAGGCAGCAACTAACCACAGCTTGCTCTCTCGGCGAGGCGGTGTGGCTCGCTGGGAGATTGGACATCGACGCAATACTCGGCGAGCTAATCTGACCTATTTACAGCTGGTATGCCCCCCCCCCACCGCAATCAGCAGCAGCTCTGCGGCTCAGCGGCAGCGTGCCAATCTCCCAGCGAGCCACACCGCCTCGCCGAGAGAGCAAGCTGTGGTTAGTAGCTGCCTTTTGTTTCGAGTTAGGCGGACAATACATTCAGATTGATGGCAACAGAATGGATAATCGTGTCGTACGTTTTAGTCTGTATCTCCGGATTGCGGGTGTATACGAGGAAACAATTTTGCACGATGCTAGGCGAATGTACTGTGTACGATTTGAGCTCAAGTTGGTTGAGTTACGCGTAGTAAATCGTAGGTATTCTAAGGCTAGTAAATGACGAATTTCCCTTGTTTATTGAAGTCACACTCCTTCCTTATTATCTACGTAAACACAGGAGTTGGTGAAAGTCAAAATCTAGGGGGGGGGGCGATTGTGTCTTTTTATTCACCAATATTGACATTTATTATACACTAATGGACTTCAGAGCAAATTGTTA